AAAAAATACTTGTGATATACCTGACATTAATGGTTAATAAACCATGATTTATGATTGATTGATTTATTTGCTTTTATACATTTTTAGCAGTAACATAAAACTATTTTTTTTTTCTGTGCTACCATTGCCAGAGGTTAGCATCCAAATACATTATATAATTTCGACATACAAACAAAATTTTTATGGAGAGCAGCAAGGAAAAAACTCCTGGTATAATTTATGTTAATGGTTAATAAACCCTGATATTTTATTTTAATTGATAATGAGCAGTGACAAAAAAATATATACTATTCTTTTTAGTACCAATGTTGCTAAAGCATAACATCAACATTAATTATACACATTAAAATCAATTTCAGCTGTTATTACAAGAATAATTAAATTTAAACATTAAGGTGTAAGATTAAGGGGTTATTTTGACTTTTTATTACAAAGATGGCTTTTTTAGTTTTTTTTGTTTTTTGTTGTTTTTTTTGTCAAGTTGTTCACACTGTTATTACAGTATGATCGTTAGTTTAACCTTGAATACATTTTTTATTTTGTTTTCTAAAATTTTATACCACATAAAATAAACATAAAATAAATAAACACATGTATCACAGAGTTTTTTTTTTTTATAGGTAGTTATGTAACAAAGTGGTATGAGGCCCTAGCTAAGGCTTCTTCGGGCATACCCTGCTAAGCTCTGCCTGCTTTGGCGTATTTGCTGTTTTAAAGAAGTATTTTGATGTTGAAATTATCCCCAGGGTCCTCTTAGGCCTGGGGGCCCCAGACTTTAGACAGTGAGAGTTCACAGTGTAGCTGTTATGCCACTGGTTATAGGCCTATTCTTAGCGTTATTGCATGAGTTTGGAAAGGAAAAAACACATTTTTGGGGGCATACAGTAATATTATTCTAAAATGTCTTAGACCAGCTTAAAAATGCCCAACATTGCCCAGTTTCTCTATGCAACAGGAGGCTAAGCCCACTTGGCTTCCACCAGGGCTATGGCCCTGAACCCCATGGGAAATGGTCAGGCCTCCCTGTTGGAGAACTTTTCCTACCACCACCCACCCCCTTCCAATGAATGTATATCAAATAGCTACCACTGCCTGAGCCAGGCCAACACACATAACTGTAACACATGGATACTCATTGCTTAGAGGACTTGACTTTCTGTAAGATTTTCTAAAACTATACCACCATTATTAAAATAAATATGGATTTGAAAAAACAAAAACATACACAGCTGGAAAACATAAACGTTATTTATTCAATATGCTAAAAAAATTATTCAGTATGTCTTTATATTGATTCTTTATGAGAGTGGTTCTAATTTGTTTTTATTTTTGTCAAATATGAAAGTGAAGATTCCTGTATTATGATAGCACGCTCAATAACACAAGATCATGTTTAGCCATCTCTGATTAATGAGAGTAAATTGGCCAGCAACAAGAATCTAACCTTAGCTCAGCAGGGTCAAATTGCCCTAACCGAGAACATCAAAGGCCTAGTATGATCCTTAACTCTTAATAATAATTTAATTATTATTTATAATACCATGTAATAAAATAAGTCACGCAGTTCGATGCAAAAATTTCTGTTCGTATGCTCTTTTTTTTTCGAATGAAGTAACAGTGAAGCTCCAAGCTGGAGCTGATTGAAATTCCAAACATGTAATTCATTAAATTTTTACAGACAATACAGTACTCAATATTAAAAAAGACAGTTATTACATTTAATATCAAATAAATTAAGAATTGACATACATTATTTTGCCATCTACATTCAAAGAAGGAATTAAGCATCAATTAAACTCTGATATTGTATAATAAAAATAATATCAGTAAAGATTCAATTAAGTTATTTACTCATTTTATTTTACTATTTTATTTTTTTCTTACCTTTTATCAGTTGAATAAGAATAAATCCCAAAAGAAAATTCTTCACTGGAATCATGGAAGAAATTGTCATTTTAACACAGTAAGTTATATTTCATCTGGACTTCAAGTGAGCTTTACATCAAGTTGTCTTTAGGGTGATTCGAGCGCCTCTCACACACATTATCACTGCTGTAATGTCCTTTCTATTTGGGAATAGCTCTCAGAAGGAATGGCATAGTCCATTATTGAAGTAGGGGTTGAATATTTAAACCAACTGACAAACAGGAAAATAAAATATAGAAGGTATATGAAGACTGGTTTTCTTATAGCCCTATTGTTTCTAATAATGTTTAAATTACTTAGTAATGTCTATGTAAAGAATTAATGTTGAGAAAGAATAAATATTGGATAGAAAATTTACTTGGTTACTTAAATATGACCTCACACAAATGATCAGACCCAACAAATGAATATGCATTTTGGAAGATTACATTTTACTTAAGGGGTGGGAACAGGAAATTGGGACTAGTTGATTTTATGGACATTTCCTAATTTTAACCAAATTTGTTAACACTTTTTAGGTAATCATTCTCACCTGTGGCCTGCTATTGTACTTAAAATAGCAAATGTCCTTCATCTTAATTAACTGCAAATCAGAATATCCCATAAATGGTCAAGTTGTCATTGCTTAACTTTCTTTGTCTTGGTAGTAACATTCGCTGAAGACATTTTAATTGTTGTTTTATTGTGAAAAGGATTTGACAATGGCTTAGCAAAGAACAAAAGCCCTAATTCCAAGACTACAAGTTCAAATCTGTTCAAAGCTATTCAGTATAAGGTGACTAATCGAGTTACAACATCGAGAACAAAATGTTAAAATAGGCGTATTGGTCTTCATAAAATTTTACGGGACATTGTATTACTTCTCAAGACTAGGTTAACTGACAAACATTGTTACGACACTGTGCTATGTCAAATACTGGTCTTAATTTAAAACTCACATAATTTTCTGTGTTTTATGAATCAATCAGATTAGTAAGGCTCAACTTATAATATTAGATTACAGGTAACATATAAAATAGCCTCATTGAATGTCATAATGTCTTCATTAATTTGTACAGTATTTTCTGTTGGCTATAAAAAGGGATATACTACTAATGAAGATGGCTATGACAAAAAAATGTAAAAAAAAAATATTAAAAATGAAAACAATGACAATAAAAATAACCAATAAGGCAATAGCAACTATAATTTAACAATACTAAGTCTACTACTGAACTATTACTACTTTACATAACATAATATTAACAATTAATAAAATAACATTATTTCTTAAAGATGTACTGTCCTATCCTATGCAAAAAATACCAAAAAAATATCATAAAAATAATTTTTTAAATTAATTTGCTCATTTTGAAGTACGGTAATATTCATATTATCAACCTGAACATAGGAATTAATGTACTGTACTAGAAATTGCAAGTGAAGTGCTGCGAAGTACAACTGCATATAAATGTTCTTCGAACAAAATTATTTATGCGAGTCAAGTGAAAATAATGAATAATAAAAATATAACAAATAATATGAGACACGACCCATTGTCTATATTAGAACACTGACGAGCTGACGTAGAAACATAGTAAAAACGAGCGTTTGTACCGTGTATGCCGGTCTACAACAAGCGTCGCCTAAATGTAATAATTAGCACGCTGAAATAGGCTAGTAAATAAGTTTAACTGGGTTTGTAAATAATATTGGCCTCAAAATATTGTGGCTGAGACATGGGCCTAGGAAACCTAGAAATATAGTAAAAACGCTGAATAGTAATACTCGAGCGTTGCCACATGTGGACGTTGGTACGTGTAGGTTAGTCTACAAACGTCGCCTAAAGTAATTGATTTTACCCGGCAGAACGAAAGAAGGAAACTTCGCTTTTCAGTTGTCTTGACAAACAATGACCTTTCAGGGGTCAAATTGCTGTCAAGAATATGAATTGGCTGCTTCGCAGCAATAATAGTAAATTTCCTTTAACCCCAATATTACTAACAGCTGAAAAACCCTTCTCTCCAAATAGTGTCAAATGCCTTTTTCTAAATCTAAAAATGCAAGAAATGTTGAAATTAATGAAAATGTATTAATTATTGAAAATCAACATTTCCTCTATTCACTGATTGATAACCTAATCAGACAACAGATACAAAACGTGATTTTAAGACTTGCATGTGTGATATTAATCAAATAACTACAGTATTAACAGGTTTATTCTGTCATGACTCTCTTCATGATTGGGTTTCAATCACCATGGAGGTATAGTTTCACTGATAAAGATCTATTTGTTCACAAATACAACAATGCCCTCGAAAAACCCTCCACCGGAATCAATTCTCCTAAACACTTTGAAGTGGACAATCATTGTAAATAACATTGCGTGTGATCCCAAACTATATAACTATATTGCCACAGGTTATAGACATAATTAACTACAATTTAAAATCACTTGTAATTTTGTTCTCTTGTATAATAGGTTGAGGGTAATATTACACTGCTGATAAATTAAAGGATCTTGTATCGGAATTGACTTCATTAATATATTCAAGTGCAGTTTCTCAATTCATTGATTATCCCATACAGGATAAAGCAAACACTTCTATAGATCTCTTTGCTGCAATTTTATCTGTGTAAATCTCTTCTTTTTGGCCCATTTTTTTTACAAGAAAAATTTTTACCGCAGGCAGTAATAATAGAAATACTGTTCGTCTTAGGAACTGTAATTACCAAAGTATACAACGATGCACGTATTTCAATTCTTCATACTTTTATATTTTTCCCTAGGAAATTTTTAATTACACGGAATATTCATATAAGCCATATCTATCACCTTAGGGTAGGATGACACAGAAATTACTGTGCTAGTTATCTTCATATCACATAGGTATGCGCACTTTCAAATCGTGTACACAATAATACTAATCTATGGAACATACCTTTATTTCATTTCATCATTACCTTTAACATTTTTTTCACGGAAAACCAATATATTTGCAATTACAAGTATATTAACAGTATAATATGTAGAATTGACTTCTTAATGCATGAGTGTACTTTTCAAAACAGGTTATCACTAATATACATTGATCTGAGAAACAAACTTTTATATTTTTATTATTATAATCTTTACAAAACTTTACAATCAAATATATTTGCAATATTGCTAAGTAATAAAGGCTACTATATGATGCAATAAATTAACCAATGATTGGTTTAAAAAAAAGTGGAAGTGATAATATTTGAGAATGTGAAGGCAAAGCTAGGCTAACAACCTCTTCAAAATTACACTGGCTACAAACTCAATATCTTACAAATGGAAAGAAATTTAAATTGCTGGACTCGGGTACCCTATGTTTAATTCAATTATCATCTCACGCTTTGCTTCTGGGCTCAGAAAGACAGAATAATGTCACTCGGCGCTTGCTGTTAACTCTTTGGTAGTTTAATGGCGTAGTTGATGTATAGAGATAATGAGGTGATCGGCAAATTTGTGACCATTAGGCTTAAAACAGAAACGGGCATTACACTCAGCAATTCAACTGTATATACAGTATATTTTGCTGGTGTAGACCTAGTTTCATTTTCTTCATGCAATAGACCTAGATTAACTCACTGCAGTATGCCTATACCTACATTATATTGCATGTTTTGTTGCCTTAAGAGATAAAACGGACCGCTGCATTACCTAATCCAATTGAAGTCAGCTGTATGCATTGGAATTGATTATCACCACTATAACGTTACAATTATACAATCCAAATATTTTTATTAGCAAACATAGTAAAATAATATTAGTGTACATGCTGATCTATACCGCAAGTAAAAAAAATTAACCTAAAAAACGGACAACCACTGGTATGTGGCAAAGATTATATAGCGTAATTCTCTCATGTTTAAAAGCAAACAGTTATTTTTTTAAATAAATTGTAAAAGTGTCAAAGAGCTGGGAATAAATCACGAAGCACTCAAACACAAAGCCGATCAACAAAGCACGCCAAGGAGATGCACGCTCTGAGAGAATCGCACAGACGGTAAAGATGCGTTATAAACAATGTGAAGTAGCTCGTAAATATGCTGAAAAAAAATTCTGGCAACGTGGGAATCGTGAAGTCATACGTGATTATACTTAGTATAGCAATGTGACAGGAGTTTTTTTCCATTAAGTAATCATTCAACTATAGTTTTAATCATAATAGCGATGCGTTTTTATTTACAGCGGGTTATTACGGAACTTTGTTGAGCATTTGAGGAGAGTTAAACATGAGTGTTTTAGTAGCACTAAAACAAACAGATTATCATTGATCCTGATGGTGATATTCCATCATTTCTTTTCAAACATGGCAATCAGGATAAACATAGTATACCAAATTATTATCATTATCATTTACATAATTATCAAAATAAATGACAATATTCTTTACTTTTTGAAAATTTAAAACTAATACCCAATTTAAATGTCAAAAATTAAATATTTAAAATAAAGAAAATTAAAATACCCATATATTAGAATTGGAATCAACCGGGTTAAATTCCGTTTAACCATATTTATTTATTCTGTCTTTATACTAAAATAACATTTTCAGTAATAAAACATACCAAAGTACAGTAGTTCAGCATTAACAAAAAAAGGAAAGAAAAGAAAACTATTAAAGCAACATAATTAAAAACAATTTCTTAAAATATTGACAATACAGTAATTTACATGAATAATGCATGACAGAAGAATTTGATACAAGTTATGTTATAAAGGATTTGAAATAAGTTTCAAAATTCAAAAGTGCCATGGAATCGAAGTTTGTTTTAATATTATACGGGAGTTATATTAGAACTCAACCTAGATAATTGATACTCTCTTGGAAGCCACTGCTAATAGACCAAAGTTTCTCAAGTATGCAGAGATTCAATTTCTTTAGGACGAAAGCGAAGTAATGATTACTAAAATCTTGCAGTGTAAACAATAAAATCTGTAGCTGTCACACCCTACGGTCATTTCTGAAACAGTACACATTTACGGCATATTAATAAAAATATCCAAATGCGAGCAACGTAAACATATTCATAACATATCATGTGATACATGGTACAATCCATCATCGGTTTCCGCCTTTTGTCTCCTAAGCTGACATTCAATAGTACTGTATGTTGTTTAATTGGCTTCTGTCAGGGTAGGAGTGATTTGGTGTTATGTCAATTAAACTATATACATTGAGTTCAGTGATATTTTAACAATAGCTGAAATATAATCCATCATCATTTAATGCCTGTCTTCAGAGCAGATGCTCTCCACTATGTTATTCCATTTTTTTAAATTTGACAAGGGGACAGGATAGTTTTGTGTTGTGCCAATTGCAATACAATTAGTTCAGCAATATTGCAAAAATTACACACTTTTTGATTCTTTCCTTTAAAAACACATATATTCACAAAATAAAATGTTATTAATTCATCCAGAATAGGAAAAAATAGATTTTGCTTGTGTTCCTTATTGGTCTGTGCAGAAATGATTACAGCTTGTCTCGATAAACTGCCCTGGACACACAGGTTGCACTGGGCAGTGACGTATCTAGGGGGTTTCCGGGGGTGGACGCTCCCTCACCAGAAATAGCTTGCTTTCCCCAGTCAACCCTCCTCTCCATTGAAAATGCATAAAGCAGAAAATCATGCTCAAACAGTTAAAATTCACCTCACATCGCATTATTCTGCAGGCTAGCGTCTCCTCAGTTCGCCTTTGCACCCTACCTACCTCCGCATCACACTCTTTTATCAGCCTTTACTAGCCCTTCTGCTAATACCCCTAACTATTCCATTCCTAAAAGTAAAACAAACAAAAAAAAACAGCTTTTGGATTAAAATATTTCAAATATACTAGGCCTTACCTTCTCTGTGCACGCCAACTATTTTTCAATTTGATGTATAATGTATCATGTTCTTGATGAAAACTGCAAATAAAATATAATATGGACTTATAAACTCTGATTATTATTACTGTCAAAGTAAATTATATATTTGTCCTAACAGTACACTTCTGATAACAAAAATTTTTATTGTAAGGTCAACAATTTTTTTGTTTTAATTTAGGTTCACAATAACAAAAATTGCAAACAAATATTGGCACAAGATAAAATGATAACCATTATTACTATTTCTATAGGATTTATATTCAATGTGTTCATTTTCAAAAAGAATTTCTCAATCCGTGTTTCTTCCCCGGACATAGGATACAGAATCAATCATAACGTACAACCTCCTTCGTTCCCGGGGGAATATCGCTATCTATGCATGTGATTCAGCACCGACATGTTACATTTTGAATCATTCAGGTTATCGGGTATCCATATATAAGCATAATTACAAACCATCTCGCATTGCTCGGGACGGTACCACATTTCAAAGTCAATTTTAATGCAGCGTTTCAAATGGGTCCATCTGAAACTTTTGATTCTCATTAACATTATATCGTCGCACAAAAATCGTTGTCAAGACAGATCAATCATATAGCGTGTGAATCAGTACCACTAGGCAGGAACGTGTTAATGAATGCAGATGTCATTTCTGAGAATTGGTTGATAGTAGATGCGGTACAGTAGATATAACGTAAAATTTGCCCTTTTAAATATTTAGTGAGCTGCGTGACTACCATGTTCAAGCCAGTGTAGTACAGATTTCATTCACTGCACATGGTAAGAAAATTGTTTCCATATTGCTAAAAATTATTGAACACGGTAGATATTTGCGCAAAGCCACAAATGAAAAAATTAGTTGTATAGCCACCCCATGCAAAAGCTATGTACTATGCCAGAACAATCGTGTGTGTCCAGCTTGAAATCTCTGACATCTGAGCCAGAAACTTATTAAGAATAAAAGGCATGGTACTCTGTTATTAATGTTATTAATAATGGAAATTTTGTGCGTTAGGACCTTAGTTACATTGAACCATGAACAATTGAATATCTTGGAGGTTCATTATTTGTCCTCGTTCAATTTGGAAATTGGGAACCTGGGCTACCGAGGACCCTCAGCAGCTGCGGTCATGCAGCGCGACCCAACTTAAGCTCCATTTACACTTGACATGATTACGACACAACAACGCCAAGATACAGATGCGCGCAGTGTTGAAGAATACAAACTATGAGATGATATGTCATTGTGTTGTTATCGTGTCTAGTGTAAATATAGCTTTAACAACAAGATGTAATGGACATACAGATACATAATAGTCCCTAGTCTGTCTAACTTTTAATATAGGCCTAATGGTTATTCAAGGAGCCGAGCGATCAAACTTCAATTAAAACTCGACGCTGACCGGGTTCAACTGGGGTCTTGAACAAAAGAAGCAGGAATAATACCTCTCAGCCAACTGCTCAGCTTTGCCTGCGTATACAGAACATTTGCAATCATATTTTGTGTATATGCTTATTATTTTTCATTACGGTAGAATATAAACAAATCCTTCCAGATGCCTATTGCTAACCAGGATTTTGAATTATTCAACAGCAAACGTGCAATAAATGAATCCATGGATATTACACCAAAGATGACTTATCAAGAGATGATTTTATACGAGCAAATATTAAACAATACCAGGCCACTATTATATTGACTATGTATACTTAATGTTGGAATAATTATTAGATCTAAATTAATTTATAGTTTGCAGAATATTTAGGTTATTTATTCAACATATTCCATTAGTTTCTCATTTTCCTAAACCTGTGCAAGTTATAATAATACATCTGGTAAGTATGTATGTAATATTATAGAATTAAAAGTATTCATTAAATGGGACAAATATGAAATGACAATTATATAGTGTTGCCATACTATATTTTGCTAATGCTATTATTTATTCCACATAGTGCAATGGTTTCCATTATCAAATCTGTGACAATATTATAATGTTACTATATCTATAAATTAAAATATTTAACTCTTTAAAATTTAATATACATTTATTTATGCAAAAAATGCAAATTCCAAATTGAATGTACTATGTTTAAACAGCTCTATATTAATGGTATGTGACATCTGTTAAATTAAGAGAATAAAGAACAATTCTTCAAAAGTGATTTTTATTATTACATTTATTTATATGAAAAATAAAATTTCCAATTTGAATGTATAACTGTTTAAACAGCTCTATATAAATGGTAGTGACATCTGTTAAATTAAGAGAATAAAGAACAATTCTTCAAAAGTGATTTTTATTATTACATTTATTTATATGAAAAATAAAATTTCCAATTTGAATGTATAACTGTTTAAACAGCTCTATACAAATGGTAGTGACATCTGTTAAATTAAAAGATAAAAGAATAATTTTACAAAAGTGATTTTGCCTTTGTTTTCTGTTTAGGTCTTATTCAATTTACACAGAACGATTGTTGTAATTATACATTTAGTATTCAAATATTGCAGTATGGAGGATTGTATTGTAGTCAAAATCTTAACAAAGAAAGAACAATCTAAATATAACTTTTATAAATATGTGAATTTAATTGATAATGTAGTCACATATGCTCTACATTTGCTCAATGAGATTTATTGCAATTAATGTGAGTTGAACAGCATTATGAGTTGTGCATTAAAAATATGTATTAATTTATTAGAATGTATGTAGGTTTACATTCATAATTTGTGGCAAGAGTCTAATGAGTGCAATCTATAAACCATTATTGCATTACGGAGTAAGTGATTCTAGCGTTCTAATCACTTACGATACTCCCGAGTCTACTGATCGATCGCACTTAATCAGCTAAATTAGTTACCTAAATATTAAACTAACTGTCGCAGCTTTTTCGCATGGTTTGTCGGAATTCGAGAAGCGAATGATTATAATTGGATTCCAGAGGGTGAGAATGTGAATAAAGAATGGATAGGAAGAGAAAAATGGATAGGAAAGAAAAATGGGTAGGAAAGGAAGAATATACTGTTATATGTCATTTTGTAAAGACAAAATAAATGAAATAATAATAATAATAATTAATATTTGAGCATTTTATAGCATTTATTTATAGTCTCACAGCGCTTAAAGAGAATGAACTAAAAGGCGAGTATTGAGAAGAAATTTCAATTGAGAAAGCGTGGGAGAATAACAAACGATAGAGGGAAGTTTGTTCCAGAGAAAAGGTGAGAATATCACAGCTTTTTCGCGTAGTTTGTCGGAATTCAAGAAGGGAATGATTATAATGGGATTTCGAAAGACGGATGATGTGAATGAAGATTAACAAGATAACATGAAAAAATTTATTAATCCTGTTTGGGAAATTCTTTGCTCGCATTAACAGACATTACAATATAAAAATACAATACAATACAGCTTATATAAATTTTTAGTACGATAATCGAATAGAAAGCAAGAAAGAGTATGGGAAGGTAGAATAGGGTGACGATCCTAATTATAGATGTTACCATATTCGGCAGGCCGTCTACTGAGTTTTAATAATTTATTTATTATCTTTCACTATCATCATCATATATCAGCACATTTACCAATTAACATCAATAGTTATTTTTATAATATACATCATACCATGATGATTCATCAATATACATTCATCATTTAATTCCACTGTCATCATCATCATCATCACCATCACAACTATTTTTATTACTACCACAAACCTACAGTTATCTTTCTTATAACAACTTTATTTATAAAAAATGTGGTTTAAAAAGGACACTACAATACTATTGTAATGAATTTCTTTGTAAACTACATTGCTTGTTGAAAATCTGCAGTATCACCAGTTTTAGAGACGATGGCCTCATCAACTGAGCTGCAGTGCAAATATTCTTCAGTGAAATGACTGAAGTGTGCGAAGTACCATCTTCATAGGGAAGAAGATAAAGTCTACGTAAATCTTTACAAATATTAATAACCATGACAAATGGTTCAAAATGGTATCATATTTCATTTTCACGTCATGGCTTTAAAATCCCTAACTTATATACTCTTGCTGCTGTGGACAAAAAAATCATTCATTAAAACAGAATTCTTTAGAATTTATGGTTATCCCCTTTTACCTTTTACCCCCAAGAGTATTGAACTGACTGGGACTATATATATTGTTATTAGCTTGGTATTCTCATATTTCTGAATAAATTATATACATCTTTTTTTAATAATCTTTACTTGAAATGAATATGTTAGTTTTTGCTAGGCCTACTTTCTTTAATTCCATATTGTTTAATACCTGAATAAATATGCAAATAATAGATTAACGAATGAATTATTACAAATAAAATTTTGTTTGACCTTTTTTGATACAATGAATCAAATGTTGCTAAAGAACACATGCGCAAAAAAAAAGGCAATCTGTCCCGGCTGGATTGTATATCCTCCAAGATACTTCGCTGTGAACAAGATGAATTGTTATAACTACAGGTCTCCCTCCAAATCAGGACCACTTTTGGGACCGGGTTTTCATTGTCTTTAGCAGCTTTCGTCTCTAATTAGAATAATTCATTTATTTACTTGGATATACACCTTCAGATCGGTGGCATACATTTACAGTGAACGGTGCATCCTTATAATCAACAATATAATAAAGGAACAGAAAAAAAAAAGCAATTGAACATAATGCTCTGTAGTCTACCTACAGACTAACAAACTAAAATAAAGTTTGACACCTTCTGTAGCCTACAAAATGTTAGCTTGCAAAAAGACGGTAAAATCAACAGATTAGTGAGCTGTGTATACTTATTCCTTAGCTCTTCTTCTAATGTACTTCAACCTACTTTCTCCCCCTCCCCCTCCCCCCTGCCCACTTCATAATTTCTAATCTGACATAAAAGCAATAAATAAAGATA